ACTTGCTGTATGTCGTGGTTTGTGAATAGAGGTTACATGCTGTATGTCGTGGTTTGTGAACAGAGGTTACTTGCTGTATGTCGTGGTTTGTGAACAGAGGTTACTTGCTGTATGTCGTGGTTTGTGAACAGAGGTTACTTGCTGTATGTCGTGGTTTGTGAATAGAGGTTACTTGCTGTATGTCGTGGTTTGTGAACAGAGGTTACTTGCTGTATGTCGTGGTTTGTGAACAGAGGTTACTTGCTGTATGTCGTGGTTTGTGAACAGAGGTTACTTGCTGTATGTCGTGGTTTGTGAACAGAGGTTACATGCTGTATGTCGTGGTTTATGTCGTGAATAGAGGTTATACATGCTGTATGTCGTGGTTTGTGAACAGAGGTTACTTGCTGTATGTCGTGGTTTGTGAACAGAGGTTACTTGCTGTATGTCGTGGTTTGTGAACAGAGGTTACATGCTGTATGTCATGGTTTGTGAATAGAGGTTACTTGCTGTATGTCATGGTTTGTGAATAGAGGTTACTTGCTGTATGTCGTGGTTTGTGAATAGAGGTTACTTGCTGTATGTCGTGGTTTGTGAATAGAGGTTACATGCTGTATGTCGTGGTTTGTGAACAGAGGTTACATGCTGTATGTCGTGGTTTGTGAACAGAGGTTACTTGCTGTATGTCGTGGTTTGTGAACAGAGGTTACTTGCTGTATGTCGTGGTTTGTGAACAGAGGTTACTTGCTGTATGTCGTGGTTTGTGAACAGAGGTTACTTGCTGTATGTCGTGGTTTGTGAACAGAGGTTACTTGCTGTATGTCGTGGTTTGTGAACAGAGGTTACTTGCTGTATGTCGTGGTTTGTGAATAGAGGTTACTTGCTGTATGTCGTGGTTTGTGAACAGAGGTTACTTGCTGTATGTCGTGGTTTGTGAACAGAGGTTACTTGCTGTATGTCGTGGTTTGTGAACAGAGGTTACTTGCTGTATGTCGTGGTTTGTGAACAGAGGTTACTTGCTGTATGTCGTGGTTTGTGAACAGAGGTTACATGCTGTATGTCGTGGTTTGTGAACAGAGGTTACTTGCTGTATGTCGTGGTTTGTGAACAGAGGTTACTTGCTGTATGTCGTGGTTTGTGAACAGAGGTTACTTGCTGTATGTCGTGGTTTGTGAACAGAGGTTACTTGCTGTATGTCATCGTGGTTTGTGAACAGAGGTTACTTGCTGTATGTCGTGGTTTGTGAACAGAGGTTACTTGCTGTATGTCGTGGTTTGTGAACAGAGGTTACTTGCTGTATGTCGTGGTTTGTGAACAGAGGTTACTTGCTGTATGTCGTGGTTTGTGAACAGAGGTTACTTGCTGTATGTCGTGGTTTGTGAACAGAGGTTACTTGCTGTATGTCGTGGTTTGTGAACAGAGGTTACTTGCTGTATGTCGTGGTTTGTGAACAGAGGTTACTTGCTGTATGTCGTGGTTTGTGAACAGAGGTTACTTGCTGTATGTCGTGGTTTGTGAACAGAGGTTACTTGCTGTATGTCGTGGTTTGTGAATAGAGGTTACTTGCTGTATGTCATGGTTTGTGAATAGAGGTTACTTGCTGTATGTCATGGTTTGTGAATAGAGGTTACTTGCTGTATGTCGTGGTTTGTGAACAGAGGTTACTTGCTGTATGTCGTGGTTTGTGAACAGAGGTTACTTGCTGTATGTCGTGGTTTGTGAACAGAGGTTACTTGCTGTATGTCGTGGTTTGTGAACAGAGGTTACTTGCTGTATGTCGTGGTTTGTGAACAGAGGTTACTTGCTGTATGTCGTGGTTTGTGAACAGAGGTTACTTGCTGTATGTCGTGGTTTGTGAACAGAGGTTACTTGCTGTATGTCGTGGTTTGTGAACAGAGGTTACTTGCTGTATGTCGTGGTTTGTGAACAGAGGTTACTTGCTGTATGTCGTGGTTTGTGAACAGAGGTTACTTGCTGTATGTCGTGGTTTGTGAATAGAGGTTACTTGCTGTATGTCGTGGTTTGTGAACAGAGGTTACTTGCTGTATGTCGTGGTTTGTGAACAGAGGTTACTTGCTGTATGTCGTGGTTTGTGAACAGAGGTTACTTGCTGTATGTCGTGGTTTGTGTGAACAGAGGTTACTTGCTGTATGTCGTGGTTTGTGAACAGAGGTTACTTGCTGTATGTCGTGGTTTGTGAACAGAGGTTACTTTGTATGTCTGTATGTCGCTGTATGTTTTGTGAACAGAGGTTACTTGCTGTATGTCGTGGTTTGTGAACAGAGGTTACTTGCTGTATGTCGTGGTTTGTGAACAGAGGTTACTTGCTGTATGTCGTGGTTTGTGAACAGAGGTTACTTGCTGTATGTCGTGGTTTGTGAACAGAGGTTACTTGCTGTATGTCGTGGTTTGTGAACAGAGGTTACTTGCTGTATGTCGTGGTTTGTGAACAGAGGTTACTTGCTGTATGTCGTGGTTTGTGAACAGAGGTTACTTGCTGTATGTCGTGGTTTGTGAACAGAGGTTACTTGCTGTATGTCGTGGTTTGTGAACAGAGGTTACTTGCTGTATGTCGTGGTTTGTGAACAGAGGTTACTTGCTGTATGTCGTTTTGTGAACAGAGGTTACTTGCTGTATGTCGTGGTTTGTGAACAGAGGTTACTTGCTTGTATGTCGTGGTTTGTGAACAGAGGTTACTTGCTGTATGTCGTGGTTTGTGAACAGAGGTTACTTGCTGTATGTCGTGGTTTGTGAACAGAGGTTACTTGCTGTATGTCATGGTTTGTGAACAGAGGTTACTTGCTGTATGTCATGGTTTGTGAACAGAGGTTACTTGCTGTATGTCGTGGTTTGTGAATAGAGGTTACTTGCTGTATGTCGTGGTTTGTGAACAGGCTACTTGCTTTATGTCGTGGTTTGTGAACAGAGGTTACTTGCTGTATGTCGTGGTTTGTGAACAGAGGTTACATGCTGTATGTCGTGGTTTTTGTGAACAGAGGTTACTTGCTGTATGTCGTGGTTTGTGAACAGAGGTTACTTGCTGTATGTGGTTTTGTGAACAGAGGTTACTTGCTGTATGTCGTGGTTTGTGAACAGAGGTTACTTGCTGTATGTCGTGGTTTGTGAACAGAGGTTACTTGCTGTATGTCGTGGTTTGTGAATAGAGGTTACTTGCTGTATGTCGTGGTTTGTGAACAGAGGTTACTTGCTGTATGTCGTGGTTTGTGAACAGAGGTTACTTGCTGTATGTCGTGGTTTGTGAACAGAGGTTACTTGCTGTATGTCGTGGTTTGTGAATAGAGGTTACTTGCTGTATGTCGTGGTTTGTGAACAGAGGTTACTTGCTGTATGTCGTGGTTTGTGAACAGAGGTTACTTGCTGTATGTCGTGGTTTGTGAACAGAGGTTACTTGCTGTATGTCGTGGTTTGTGAACAGAGGTTACTTGCTGTATGTCGTGGTTTGTGAACAGAGGTTACTTGCTGTATGTCGTGGTTTGTGAACAGAGGCTACTTGCTGTATGTCGTGGTTTATGAACAGAGGTTACTTGCTGTATGTCGTGGTTTGTGAACAGAGGTTACTTGCTGTATGTCGTGGTTTGTGAACAGAGGCTACTTGTTGTATGTCGTGGTTTGTGAAGAGAGGCTACTTGCTGTATGTCGTGGTTTGTGAACAGAGGCTACTTCCTGTATGTCGTGGTTTGTGAACAACGGCTACTTCCTGTATGTCGTGGTTTCTGAACAGAGGTTATACATGCTGTATGTCGTGGTTTGTGGACAGAGGCTACTTGCTTTATGTCGTGGTTTGTGAACAGAGGCTACTTGCTTTATGTCGTGGTTTGTGAAAGGAGGCTACTTACTGTATGTCGTGGTTTGTGAACAGAGGCTACTTGCTATATGTTGTTGTTAGTGAACAGAGACTACTTGCGACATGTCGTGTTTTTGAAAGGAGGCTACATGCTGTATGTCGCGGTTAGTGAACTTAGCTTACTTGCTTTATGTCGTTGTTTATAAGTTGTATATGATAGTGGGTACATCTTTACGATTTAACTATCTACGCAAATAGTAGCTTACGTTGACATGCATCAACCAAGACCACCCGATCCGGTTAGTGGCACATACGACTATCATGGGTTGCTGAAGACAAATCGGGATCTTTATGGGTCGTACATGTAGGAGATAACTGAACATAGCGTACCTGGAGGTGTGTATTGATAAATTAATAATTTCCTAAAGGTGCTCTGGCTCACTGACGCATGTTATCGTATCTTAACTGCGTTGATCGGTGCTCATGGTGTCGATCACTGGACAAGATGGTCCAGACACTATTATGCATAGATCGCTGTTCTAAAGCTGGAATTATAATATGCGGAGTGCCACTTTAAATATGAACTGTTTGATAACTGAGCATATCGTACATCACTTTAAAGAGGTGAGGTGAGGTGAGGTGAAATTGGGTTTAACGTCGTGCTTGAGAATATTTCGCTCATATGACGACGTGCATGCGTGTGTATGTGTATGTGCGGCTGCTTGTACTAGTCCAGACTGAAGCTGGTTTTATAGTGCTAGCCCACTGAGATACCATGCCGCAGTGAAGCATGAATACCCCATTTAGACACATTATACTGACTCCGAGCCGACCAGTCCTTGTTGTACCCATTAATGCCGAGCGCCAGGCAGGGACCAACAAGTACCATATTTTTACGTCTTTTGGTATGACGCGGTCGGAGATCGAACCCACGGCCTTCCGCTCTCCGGGCGGACGCTCTAACCACTACACCACGGAGGCGGTCTCACTTTAAAGATGTAAACAAAGTAACAAAGAAAGATTTACGGGCTTTCACACTGCTACATTCACATCCCTATCTGGACATGTTTAGTGAATTCAATACTATACATTTTAAACTAGCTTTTCTGTACTTTAGACGTCCTGTTCTATTTATAGCATCACGACGGTCGCCGGCTTACTGCGCGGGATCCTTCAGTCACTGTACATGTGCCCGCGGCATACTGTGTTTGTTTGTCAGAAGTGAACATGTTATGAATTTACAAGGGCCTGGCCCTAAATTCAAACAACACACTTCTACCAACAGACTCTCTCCCTTTGGTGTTAGGTAAGTTCAAATTGATAAGAAAGGGAAATTATATCGACTTGTTTCTTAACACCTAATGCTATCGTATTCCAGCTATGAAGACGGCTTGAAAATAATTCAGTTTAGACACCAAATGGCGTTTCCGAAACACTATTTGTTGAATAGGTGAGCTTGAATTGAATGTTTGAATTTCTGTGGGGTCGTTGACATCCCCGGCAATGTTTTGTGTACCGCCTGACAGTTTCTTTTTTGTGAAACATTTCTTCTTTACAACTGCAGCCCGATTCATTCACAGGCACGACCCTTTAGAGACCTATTAAATTCTTTAAATTGTATTCGCTGCAGAGCTGTTTCATTAGAGTTCATTCACAAATCCATGACTCACGGTGATGTGAAGGAACGTTGTGAAACAGTAGTTCCATCATTCTGTATCCCCTATCTGTGAAGCTTAATTATATCCTGTTACGTGCATCATAAAATACATTTACACGTGTGTACGCGGGTGGAACGTAAAAAAACCCTTTCTAAAATGTTGCATCAACATGCGTGTCTGAACACAATGACGCACTTTGAACTAGGTTAGGCTGCCCTTTAGAGCACAGCGATCTCGCATGACAGAAGTCACCTGCCGCCTGTAACGAGTTTGCAACAATAAATCTTAACTCATGAAGGCTTAAAGGGTTTTCATAGAGTGACAAGGTGATCACGTCGCAGTCAGCCACGTCTACGATATCAGGTCAAGGTACGTACATCGTTAATAGTAGTAAACATGTTCGCGGGGTATTAGTGGTGATAGAATAAGCACATATGTAAACTGGAAGTTACATAGTTTCAATATCAGGGTTCTCCTTGAGCTCATGTTGCATCAGTCTGACCACGTGACCGACAGGGGTCACCTGGCTGGTCTCAGTTCACGACCCCAACAATCAGCGGTTTAACGTCGAACTCAACAATATTCCAGCTACATGGCGACCGTCTGTCGATCTAAGCCCCTGCCGGATCCAGGATTTTGGAGAAGTGGGGCTGCACATAAAACATGAAGTCCAAAGGTTAGGGTGGAAAGGGTGTGTGTGGTTGAGTGTCATTTCGCCATTACTACTAAGCCAACACGTTATGGTGTATTGACTGCGGTTAGTAAGCATGACTGATTCTGTCACCCCTTGCAGTAAAATAGACCCCTAGTGTACAGTACACAACCCTGTGCACTTTAAAGAACCGACGAATCCGTTGGTATATGACCAGATGGTGGCCACATGAATACGTGCAAACACCTAGTTGCCGGTACAATAACGTGCAGTAAACTTGGACAAAGTACTGTGACTATGTGTCCCAGTCCACCCAGCTGTGAATGGGTACCTCGTAATGATGGGAAATCCACAATAACTCCGTGCCTAGTGGCTGCAAGAGTTGTATGATCCCCAGGGAGTTGAGATTGATATCCAATGATCGAGGGAAAAAGTTGCGTGGATATGTGCGCTATATAAATATCCTATAAAATAATAACTACTCAGAGATTCTGTATCTTCTCCCCATTTGGACCATCATTCATCACCTCTAGCCAGGCAGCCTGGCAAACCTTTAGTCAATGTGTGACAGCTTGCCTCCTGACAGTCAGACGGTAAGGGTGACCAACATGTAAGACCTGCTGACCTCCTCGCTCGTACATAACAAGCTCTGCTCTCTGAAGTGCCATTTTGACTAATCATAATTTGGAAATATTAACGTAAATACCATTTGCATAGTACTTATTTACTTAATCCCCCTGAGAAGTAGATTAAAATGTGTAAATCCAACAGATAGTTCTAACTAATTTGCTTCTCACTTTATTGCTGCGATAACAGCATATTGTTTCTTAAAGAAACATCATCATTTTCTTTGCAAGCACACTGTTTCATGTTAACAATTCAGTTCAGTTATAGGATCTTTCTAATGCTCTTGAAATATATTCTCAGACGAGCTAATTATTTTCAAACGGGGGTTTATGCTGTCCCTATTCGCCTACAGAACTTAGTGAAGGCGAAATGGGATGTAGGCGAAATGAGAACCACATGGCCATCCTATCCCACCGGGTACCCATTCACGATGGGTGAACATAGGTAATTTTGAAACAAATTCACTTGCCTAAGGTGAGACCACATGTGTCACATGTGCTTCATTGTGAGGCAGGGCTGAAGTCCTAGAAACTGTCAGGAGCTAGGCTGCCAAACATGGTCACCCACTCGTGACCTATGCACATATACGATTTAATTTGTCGTTTTTTGTGTATCCAGTTCTTGTGTATTTTGTTTATATAATATATGTAATGGTGAGGTATTAATAAAAGCAAAGGTTTGCTTGTTTACGAAACCAGATTATTTTGGAATAAAGATATGTTTAAACCATTTTCCGTGAACAATGTTGCTTAACTTCAACTGATTTGAGACCCGGGCTCAATGCATAAGAACACACACCGCCACCTTTACGTTGAGACCGCTGATAAATAATTTTTCGGAACTTGTCGAAGGGTCCTTTTTAATAATGTGATTTTCTGTTTCGTATAGTCAGTTACGAAATTCATAACAAAAAACCCCACATGAAACGTGGATATTTTCAAATGCATAGAAGTTTCATTAACAAAGCGCCTTTGAGCAGCTGAGCCGGAAATTGTCATAGATAATAATATTGAAATTCTCCAAAGGCATTTAGAAGTTGGGGTAGTAATACAAGACAAATTTAATGGATAACAACTGCTTGGTTTATTTTTCACAACGTTTCTGGGCTAGTGCTTGCCCCTTCTTCAGGTGAATGGTGATAGTGAACAGTACAGTATATATATATATATATATATATGTACAGGAAGCCTTGTTCAATATCACCATTATTCACCTGAAGAAGGGGCAAGAACTAGCCCAGAAACGTTGTGAAATATAAACCAAGAAGTTATTATCCATAAGATTTGTCTTGTATGATAATAATATTGTCACGAATTTCATAAACCCCCCCTCTCCACCTTTTTGTCCTGAAAGTTTATTAAATGACCATTGAAACGGGTGAAAATAAACTATGCTTTCTCAAAAAGCTGTATCAGCCCCTGGTCATTTGTAATGCGCTTGATTCCACAACACTTGGCCCTGCTCTGAGCACTAACATCCGACAGTCAGTACCGAAGAAAGAGGAATGTCTTTAGGTGAGATTTAAAGGCGAGAGAGTTGGAGCAGATTTAATGTCTGTAGGGAAAGAGTTCCACAGGAAAGTAGCTGAATGTTTGAAGGATCTATGACCGAAAGTTTTGAGTATATGGAGGCACAACAAGAAGTGATTGGTCAGCAGATCTGAGATTCCTCTGTCAAACGTAGGGTGAGACAAGGGCTTGGAGATAGAGTGGAGCAGTTCCATTAGTGCTTGGTAGGTTAGGGTTAAAATCTTAAACTCTGATTCTCAACTAGTGCAGGGACTTCAATCCAGGCTGGATATGACTTGTTAGTTTTGTGCGGGTGACAATCCTGGCGGCGGTGTTCTGCAGCTTCTGCAGTCTGTGAAGTTGGTCGTTGGTAATACCAATCAAGAGACTGTTGAACTAGTCTAACCACGACAACACCAAGGATCTCATCAGTGTAGCTGTGGTGTTTCTGATGCATCGGTGTCTCATCGATGACTACTGTTCGAATTCCATCATGGCACGACCATTATTTATTATTGCATTACTGTATTAGTGCGGTGGTACATGTGTTTGCCCGTCGAACTCATCCAGTGTTCGATTCCCGTTATGAATTTATCTGATATTTATTACCCAAGTTATTAAATATAGTCCAACGGATAGCCCAGTAGAAAGGCATTATTTCGTCTGTGATACCCACCCTGTGTACTTCCCGTCATGGGCTTCTGTGTCCTTTGAGAACGTTAGTGGTAAACACGAGTGCTTCATACACCTTCCACGTGCATTAACATATACAGAGGCTTTGCATTAGCATTTATAATATACCCAGATCCTAGAGAATATATTAAAACAGAGTCCAATAAACAATCGAGTCTAGATTACAATGGGCCCCTTTGGGTTACATATTGCTCTTTAAAAATATATATATATATAAGGTATATATTAAAAAGAGCAATATTAGAATATAACCCTACATACATACATACATACATACATACATACATACATACATACATACATACATACATATAAAACGGGAATACATAACCCATTATATATATATATATATATATATATATAGAGAGAGAGAGAGAGAGAGAGAGAGAGAGATTAGTATTGCTTGTGTTTAATGTCAGTCGATATTAATAACTACGTGTCCGTATCTTATTACAGGCTCAAGACAAAAGTGGTGTGATTATTCATCCAAGCCGAATGTCTGTGCTCTGAAGTGAACGGGGTATCTCTCGGTCGTAGGCGATACCTTAATCGTAATCACGGTGAGCAGAAGCAAAACGTTTTCCACCTACGCCCGTCATTGACATGCCCGTAATGATCGTAGGTGATAATCCGTAGCCACCACCAGCGCACCTGAATACTTGAACTCATTGAAGTGTGGATCTTCAAATGTGAATATTTATCTTACGTGGAGAACAAAAGGCTCACTAAGTTACTGATTACAGAAGTGAATGTAAAGATGGGGCTGAGACAACTATTGTCCGAGAGCAAACTGTTGGTTCACTTCCTGGTGTGTTGTTTTGGCATCGCTTCCTGGGTGGACATCAATGGGGTGTGGGTGGAGCTGCCCCTCCTGGTGACCACCCTGCCGGAGGGTTGGACCCTTCCGTCCTACATCATCATCATCAGTCAGGTGGCTAACATTGGACCAATCACATTCGCCGTTCTGGTTTACTGTTACAAAGACGCCAAACTGGAAAACCCCGTATCGGCGCTCATTATTGGTGAGTAATAGCTCCTTGGTTCGTTACTGTTGTTCCATCGTTCGTTACTGCGTCTCCACGGTTCGTTACTACACAGTTATGGTTCTTTGTCTAAGTGTTACGGGCTGTTTTAAATAGAATTCAGACTTGTTATGTTCAAGCTGTGTGCCAAACAACGTTTATTATGTACATCTAGCAATCAATTAACATAAACAATTTAATTAAATGAACTTAGGATATACATGCTTATGACAAACACCACTGCGGTCTTTGCTCCAACGAGTTGACGGGCCGTGGGGTAGCCTAGTGGTATAAACGTTCGCTCGTCACGCCAAAGGCCTGGATTCGATTCGCCACAAGAGTAAAATGCGTGAAACCCATTTCTGATGTACCCCGTCATGATATTGCTGGAATATTGTTTAGAGCGGCGTAAAAATAAACTCCAAAGTGTTGACAAGCCATGAAAGGCTGTTCAAAGCGGCATGTAACCCGACTCAAAAGCTCAGTAAAACTGAATGAGTTTTAGATGTTATTGCTTCTAATAAAGACACATCTGTTTCAGTGATAGGCATGGCCTCCTGTATGCTGCTGGCGTTCTTCTGGAAGGAGACGACGGTAGTTGCAGGAGAACCTCACTCCACAGCCCTGCTCGCCCTCAACTTGGTCCTGGCTCTGGTGGACTGCACCTCGTCCCTTGCCTTCCTGGCCTTCATGGCGAGCCTGAAGCCACACTATCTACCCACCTTCTTCATCGGGGAGGGCCTCAGTGGACTGATACCGGGCCTGACAGCTCTAGGCCAAGGTGCCGGAAGTATCAGTTGCGCAAACGGAAGTCACGTGTCGTCCAACTTCACAAACGGGACCTGGTACAACGAGACGGTCGCGTCTTCGTATCCGGTGTTCGGAACTCCCCGCTTTTCGGTCCAAGTCTTCTTTTTTATTTTATTTGGTCTCATGGTCCTGTCGTTGATGTCGTTTATTCTCCTGAACTATCTTCCTTACTGCAAGAGCGAACGGGTTGCGAAATACGTGTTAGAGATCAACACTGTTAATGAAGAGAGTCGTAAGAACGCATATACTGCGTGCAATCCCATATATGAGTCTGACAAGTTCAAAGGAGAGACGTCACAGCAGTCAGTCACAACGAAAACCCCGAACAAAGTGATATCTCCACGCCGACCTTCTGTTTCCTCCTTGCCCAAACAATCCTCATTAATATGCTCATCACCAGCTTCCTTCTGTCAGTGCAATCGTACACCAGCATCCCCTACGGCCTTGACACCTACCACCTCGTGGCCATCATCACTAACATCGCCAACCCCGTCGCTTGTTTTTTCAGTCTCGCGTTGCCTGTCACGGGCACCATCGCCATCTCCATCCTCAGCTTCAGCGGGACCGGCTTCGGCATCTATCTGATTGTCGTGGCTGCCATGAGCCCGCATCCTCCTCTGTACGACGTCGAGGCAGGGGGAGCCATTGTGGTAATTAATACGAGGATTGATGGATGGATGGATGGATGGGTGGGTGGGTGGGTGGGTGGGTGAGTGAGTGTGGAATGCGTGAGTGGAAATCTAAAGAGTGAGTGAGTGAGTGTATCACCGTGAGTGGTGTTAGTCCAGTGGAGTGAGTACGTTGAGTGAGTGAGGAGTGCGAGTCTTGAGATCCAAGGGTAATTTACAGGAATGCGAGTCTTGGAAATCTTGCTTTCAAGAGAATTACAGTAATCTGTATCACCGTGAGTCGTGTTATGGAAGAATACAAGTTACCTTCTTGGGGAAACACAAACACACACAAAAGGTGGGGAAAGACCATTGCTTAAAATTGATGGTATCTGCTGTGCAGAGTTGCATCCCTTTTCTTTGACAAAAAATGTCATTGGCAAGATTCAGGAAAAGCATGATAAATATGCGGACCTCGCCTTTGAAATGTCTCGCTTGCATCCCAAGTACACTGTCGCCAGGTTCCCCATTGTTCTCGGTGCCCTTGGTTTGGTACCTCCTGATCTCTTGGCGCAGATCAGGAGAGTGCCCGGGTTCTCCACTGGGAGTACAGCCCTTCTGACACTCTGGGTAATGCAGAAGGCTGCAGTGTTGGGGAGCCTTCATATTCTCCGGAAAGTTCTTGGTGGGTTTGACTAGGCAGCGTTTCCTGGGAGAAGTCCCATTCGCTGTCTGGGCTGCGTGTAGAGGGGGCGAGGACCCTGAGCTGATGATGAGCCTTACCAGTCTGACTGTGCCAGGATCACCCGAACCCTCTCTGCTGCATACTATCTTTAATCTGTAAAACATACTGTGGGTATTTATATAGCGCTACATCCAGGTACTAATACCCGCTCATGGCGCTACAATACTATAGGAGAAAGAGTCAGGATACCGCTGTGCAGAGTTGCATCCCTTTTCTGTGTCAGGATACCCTTGTAAACAAGTAATCTGCCACACCGTGATAGAAAATAATTAGCGGTCAAAGCCTTTTCAAAGTGCAGCCAAACTTTCCCAGTACATTGATCTCATCCAAAAATATTATTGCTAATATTGTTTTGAATGTCTTCCAATTTGTTTTCAGATAACATCGTGGGCAATGGCGTCCTTCCTTCTTACCTACGCTAAAGTGTCCATTGCTGGTCGACTGAGACAGGGTGGACGCCAACCGCTGATATGGTACGGAGCCTTTACCCAAACTGGGGCGCTGATAGGCGCCATCGCCGCCTTCCTGGTCGTCAACATCTTCAAGCTTCTACAGGACGCTCCTTACTGCTGACGTGTGCGTGTGCGTGAGTGTGTGCGTTTACGTACAGGCCGATTAAGACGCGACGATTATCTGCACACAGGGGCTTGTGACGCAAAAAACAAAATGGCATCAAGGTATATATTGTCACGGACCTCGGCTTCGCACAGAATAAAAGGACTACATTTAGTCATTGTAGTGGTAAGACCCGGTCAGTGAAAACATAAACCGTATATCCTCCAATAAGCGCCTGGTGGCTTATTTTTTCAACGGAGTTCCAGAACTTGCGCTTATTAGAGGCCCGGCGCTTTTGCGCTTACTGGAAGTGTTAGTAAGCTGCTTTACTCCCGGCGCTTACTAGAGGCCCGGCGCTTATTAGGGTATCTTCCCATAAGACAGACCTCCCAAAAGACAGACCGCTTAAAACAACACATTTTATGGTTGGTTGCATAAGGCTTAATGAAGCTGTACCCTTGATAATAATGGTATGTGTCCAGATGAAAAGACAACATTAGGTATTAACTATAGTTTTATCAATTCATGTAATGAATTATGATTTTTAAATTGAGACATATTGCATCAACATATATGTACATCAACATTTATTTGCCAGATCACATTTACTTGTGAATATTATCAAAAACAATAATTTATATATACATGTACCTATCAAGTATATGAGACCAAGCACCATAATATTTTACATCACATGTTTGTCAGTGTACAGATAACACTTATTAGAAAGTCACTTGAACATCATCATTTTTCCTTTCACCTTGCTCTTGGCATACAGGTCATCTGGAAGGTTGATCGGAAAAAGTCACGGAACAAAAGTCATGGGAAAATTAACTATTATAAAACATGTTTATACTGAATTTTATAAATACTATTTCACTTTCATTTTCAGTAATAAATACATCCTGTTCTCCAGTTATTTGCAAAAACTAATTCAACAACATGTAAATAAGCTTATTGAGGACCAGCTTGGTATCTTCATGATTGTTGATATTGCAAAAAACTTTGAATGTGTTTGACCAGTATTGTAAAGAATGGAAACATAGTGTGAATTTAGATGTCAGTGATGAACTTCACTTTTTATTATACTGTCCAGCACTAAATGCCCTCAGAAATCAATTTCTTCCCCAATGTTTCTGTAAACATCTTACTATTGAAAAATGTGTTTATCTAATGAAATGTGATTATTCACCACCTAACTCTAAAGTTGCCAAATTTATCAAAACTGGACTTTGCTCAATATTTCAATATGTATCAATATGCTGTATGTTCCCTGTGTCACTACATGTGATTTTTTTACAATAAAAATTTCGGTTCTATTCTGTTCTGTTCAGTAAAAGGATTAGTAATATGTTTTGAGAAGGGCACAGGAGATAGGAGTGTGTTGTTACTATACTCTGTAGTGACTCTGGGTCAGCTCACTACTTAAATAGGGGTGGACAGCATGGCTCTGCTAATTAGTGTACTCATTGAGTCTGTCTTATGGGAGGTCTGTCTTTTGGGAGGTTTGTCATTTGGGAGTGAAATACGGTACCTTGTTTACAGTCGTTTCTGGCGTCACAATTTCCTGACAGTGTGTATCTACACCGAGTTTCGGAAACCAGAAGACGTCATTGGTTTGAAATGCCATGAATTTCACGATTTTCATCATATATTCAAACAAACTATTTGCGGCATTTGTTGACATGTGTTGAGGGACTTGAATCACATGAACACTTTCCCCTATCATTCTATATGTGTTTATATATAGTATGTATTCAATAATCAAACCTGTGGCTGGCTAGAATCAGTTGTTCAGCGGACACACTCAACGTCGCACGCGACGCCGGAAGGAGTGTCGAGTACGCACAAACGTTCAGAATGGACGCAGAAAAATAAATATTACTTCCCGTGGGGTGCAAATAAAATTCATTATATCATTTCCTTGACAAGAAATATAGTGAGCTAGTGAGTATGGTTTTACGCAATATTCCAGCAATGTCACGGCGGGGAACACCAGAAAATGGGCTTCACACACTGTACCTACGTGGGGTATCGAACTCGGGTCTTCGGCGTGACGAGCGAACGTTTTAACGACTAGGCTACCCCGCCGCCCTCGACAAGAAATATAAGATTCCTGTGGTTAAAATATTGAATAGTCTTACCTAACAGAACACCATTTCATTACTTGCAGGACTCTCATATTTCCTGCAAGGTCCCTTGAAATTTACCACAGCAATCAATAACCTTGCCATATGATGACCGCATGAATATATTCGATCCAACAAAATACTCAATATTCATGACCTATTCCGACATGTGCAGAAGTACTAATGTCCTTGAATATACACCTACATAAATGCAAACAATACTGAAGTCAGTTCTTAAATGTTTCTTGTGAAATAGAATATATAAGCGTAATGCCCAGAAACAGGTCTAACATGTAGAACTTGTCTAAATCCAAAAAAGAGAGAGGAATATTATACCGAACAGATTGTTGTGATGTATTAAAAAGTATTAACAAAAGAAATGCATTCTTCACATCAACATGACTATGATATACATGTACTACACAATTTTAAGTTTTGTTTGACGGGAGACTTTTGTTCCAAAAAAGATACTGTAAACTAGCACAACGGAGAAAAAAACCCGAAATGATCATGACTTCCTAACCAGGACATTGGTTTCTTGGACCCTGTCATAGTCTGTCATACACCATGAAGCAAATATATCCAAGAAAGCCCACGCAAGTCTAGAAAAAATGGATTGAAGAAACCAGCGAAAAGGCAGCACTTGCTTGTCAACACGCACGCACGCACACAGTTTGCTGTATATCCACGGGATTTCATTCTGCACTGGGATAGCTTCACCTGTTTCAATGAATGAACAGACCCAAGGTCACAAATCAGTTTTTAAAGTTAAGCAACATGGCTCACGGAGAGTTCTTGGATGGGTGACCATGTTTGGCAGCTTGACTTTAAAGGACTTCAGCCCTGTCCCACAAGGAAGCACGTGGCAAGTGCGTTTGTTGTATTGGAATCAGTTGTTCAGAGACATTAAGTTTTATCAAGTTGAGTGCAACTCGCTGCTCACAGTAATTTTGGTATCAGGGGGAATAACTCTAATTAGGGACGTTATGAGCGGAAGTTGAAGGTTGAGAGAAAACCCCGCGGTCTGCGTCAAGTGATAGTTCTGAAGGTTTGTTTTGCTGAAAAAGGCAGGTTAAAGTCTGTATTCGCCAGGAATGGTTCGCTTAACGTTTCAAATCACTTTAATCTATTACTCGCGAATGTTATGCTTGAGTTTCATCGCAGTTACATCTAATTTTCATGAGTGCTTCATCACGTCGCAACTGACTTTCATCTGTGTTGGAACTGTTTTGTAACAGTGGAGTTCTGGATTAAACAATTGAGACTTCGAGTTGATATTCCATTAATACGAAGAGGCTAAGCCACACACCCACATCGCAAAACAATACATTTGTTTAACATTGCCTCTGTTCACCCAGCAGAAAATGGGTACCTGGTAGGATGTCTATGATTACACAATGCCATTTAGAAATGGTGGGATGTCATGAATATTAACCTTCTACCGCCAGCTTGGGTTATCCAGGGTAATAATGTCCATTATATTGTACGCTCTTAAAGCATGCCCTTGCGATTGATGCTCATGCCGTTGATCACTGAATTGTCTGGTTCAGACTCAATTATAGACCACTGCCATATAGCTGGAATATTGCCGAGTGCTATGTTAAACAATAAACAAAGCATACATTGGCGTCACAAATTGGACCCATGTGTGGAATTGAACCCCACATGCCACTTTAACCACTATGCTACCCTACTGACCCACCGTCAGGAAGTTTTACATAAAGATACACATCAATAGCCATGACGCTGGTAAGATGCTGATGTTAACATATATACGTAATTAACGACCACGACGAAACTTTGTCATTCTATGACATTCTATACATAAAGATATGAAATAACTGTGATGTTCTCAATGTCCTGCGCATGTTTCAATACACTTGTTTGGATTGTAGTCATGAGGATGCCAAGATGACTGACTGACTGAGTTTGGCTTTACGCTGCTTTTAGCAATATTCCAGCAACATCACGGCGGGGGACACCAGAAATGGGCTTCACACGTTGTACCCATGTGGGGATTCGAACCAGGGTCTTCAGCGTGACGATGCCAAGATGAAGTCTCATCCTCAGCAAGATCATTTGGAGTGACTGAGTGAATGAGTGAGTATGGTTTAATGCCACTTCTAGCAATATTCCAGCAATATCAGAGTGGGGGACACCAGAAATGGGTTTCACACTGAGGAATATGAGGAATCGAACCCGGGTCTTCAGCATGATGAGCAAAGACTTTAACCACTAGGCTACCCCACCTCCCGAAGATCATCTAGAAGTCGAGACACTACCTTATGACTCTGCATTGACAAACAAAAAAATCAAGATGTACACATTTACAATTTATTTTTTTCATTGGGTTTTATATGCATAAAATTATCCCACAAATATACAGTTATCCATAGTCACCATGTACATTACGAGTCATCAACACCTAGCAACAATCATTCAAAACAAACAGTTTGTAATTAGCAACATGCTAAAATAACAGACATTAGAGTGCTAGCTTGCTGATCCTTGCATGATTTGAGAAATTTCATCAAACCAATCTACATATCTTAAAGTCAGGACTAGGAAAATGATCACCATCAAAGGGCTGTAACGATTCACTTCATTGTAATATGATATATATCATGATAGTAAAAGTGAATACTTATCTGAATAGTATGTTTGTCATTTGATAATATCTGGATAGTAAGGGCACTATGAAACATCTTGATTGTAAGCTTGCAATGTGTTCTTAATGGTTAGTTTGCAATGCGACACCTCAATGCTAAGGTTGCAGTGACTCCTGAGTGAGACACGTATATCTATGATATGCTTGCCCTTCCCGATATGATGCATGGAAAATGTTATGGACACAAATTCCATCATTCAATAAGCTGAAGTAGAAATGACTCAAAACAACAGCTTGAGACCTGTTTTACGTACCAGTAGAAGCATTTTACAAAAAAGCCTGTCTTTTTACATGTTGCTTTTTACACACAAGCATATGACTTTCTACTGACACATGATCATAAGTATCGTGATGCCAGTACACTGAATCAGTGAATCGTTACATCCCCAATTAGCTTCACACTGAACGAGAGGACAGCACAGATACACGGCTAGTTACTACAAAATGGAGCAAATCAACTGAATCAACTTACAACTTTATCAGGATATAATTATGATGTTATCAATGAAAACAATACTGAACCCTGTGAGCGCAGAATGAAGAATGGTGATGCTTTTGATTAAAGTTGTTTTGAAATACTTCTGAACCATAGCTCAAACTGGAGGTCCCTCCCCTCACCTGGTGGAAATCTTGGAAAGCCACTTTCAACAATATTTCAATCAAGTATATAAGGAGTCTACACCCTCAAAGTTGGAGGCAATGTCAAAGCAATTAATGTCACTAGACTCTGTCGGCTTTGGTAGAACGCTGTAACATAAGTACCCTGTTTCATGGCCTGAGTTACAAGAACTTCAGCATTGAACACTAATTTGGTTTTCAAGGTGTGCGCAAAAGCAGCATCTACATCAACACTCCTGTATCAATGCTAATTGGGGCTGTACACACCACGTCACCACGACCATACTTCGACACTATGTCACCATGACCTTACTTTGACACTATGTCACCATGACCTTACTTCAACACTAGGGTGGTACAAGAAGCTTCCCTGGTGGAGGATGAACAAAGTCAATAATATTTTAATTATGACTTTTGTGGAATGATTTACAGATACCGAAATATGAAGAAAATAAATGCTTACAAGCTATCAGAAGTTGATCTGAACAAACGCCCCCTAACTCAATAAATCTGCTTATAGCATTAATAACTATTACCAATATGGTCCTTGGCCATACTACTCAACTTTAGCTAAGGATCAAAGTAGTCACTCTCAAAGGTGTGGGCCTTAGCAAACATTGAGTAGTATACGAACAGTATGAAGTCACAATGTGGCCACATCCCTATAAAACATACCAGAACTGGTAACAGGCAGATGGAGCTTGTCAAGGTAATCTGCATATATGACACAAATATCTCAGAAAAATGTTTCTAACAATAAAATATACATTCACAACAAAAACAAGCAAACTGCTTGAAGAAGAACCTATTTGCTAACCTGAGATTTGTGGCTACCATGACATGAAAAGTAATAGCTGACTTGATTTGGAAGAACTTTTCAATAGAGCTGGCAGTCTCCAGGCTTTCCACTAAGTGTCCTGTGAGAGTGTAATTCTAGTTTGGTGTTAAACTGGGTACATGTATACCATAAGTGGATATCGAAGTCCAACAATGGACTTGGCACAAAGCAGAAATGTCTTCTGATTACCGACAGACTTGTTGCTTATAGTTATTAATACTAACCTAAGAAAGGGACATTACTGCTATGAAGATTCACAAAAATATCTCCTGAAATAATCATGATCCATAATTGTTTTGGCAAGAATATATCAAGAAGAGTGAATGCAAGATAAAAGAACCCAAAGAAGGCGGCTATGGCATTTGTCACTTCTTTGAAACCAGCAAGCACTGTAACATGCAGATAAACCAAGGATCATAACCAGAGCGTATCTGGGATTCGAACTCATGATCAGAGGATCATCCCTAAAAAGGGGCGTAACTCTGCAAAGTGAAGTCTAGTCACTGAGCCAACAGGGCCATCCATTCCCCCTATACCTTTGAACACTCTCTGTAAGCAAGTCTGAGTAAGCACACCCTGACAGCAGAGATCAATTTACATGACGTCAGTGCTTCAGGCAGGTACCAAAGTCAATAACTAATACCTGGAGAATCCACAAAAGATTTGCTCTTCCATATTCATATCAGCTGCATCAGTGCACATGGTTGAACGCATGTATTCCTGTTATACTGTAGGACTTTTGTTAATTACCTACCCCATTCTGCCTAAAACAATTCAAATTGATCTCATTCATGTTTTTAGCATGTACAGAAAGTCTCAAGTGTCTAAGGTCCTCATGCAATGCAATATCAAATGAGACACCAGCTCAGTATTTCAATCTGATCATTGTAAACCAAAAATGATGATAGGAACATCCTCGTCTCAACATGTGGAAGTGCAATCATTAAGGTAAGTTACTCTCCTTAACAGACAGGTGTCTTGTTTACTGAGCGATCAATGCCATAATGGTACAACCAGGTAGTCAACAAATCATGTTAAAAGGGCTTTTGGGGGATCAGCTTCAAACAGCTGCTACCATGAGGGCTTGTATTTATTACATGTAATTAAAATGGGATCTCTCATATCACCAGGTAGGGCTCCAAAAGACTAGTCATTGCTGAGCATGAAACACAGCATACATCTCAGAGAAAAATAAATCTTGAATAAGGAACATGCTTCTAAAATGTCACCTCAAAAGATGTTTGAAAGAGTAGCGAAAGCATTGGACTGACGATACATGAAAGCAAATTGACAGTCTTGAATCAGTCCCAATACCACATACTCTGTTATTGCTCTGGAAGTGTGGTCAGGGGATTTCAACTCAAGGCATAGATGGACAGGAAGATGGCACTATGCTGAAGCACTGATGCCGTACAGACAGGACATGAGAAGGATGATCAACTGATACAACAGCGGCTAGCATGAGGCTTTGAGATGTGGTCAGGTTCTGCAGAGGTGTGAGAGCTTGTTATTTTCTTATGACCATAATGTAAGATGAAAAGATGTCAGCACCATTGGCATAGAATTCACAGAAAAATAACAGCTATCTTACCAGGAAACTACTGTAAAATTAATAAATTTGGGTTCTAAAATTTGTTTTTGACAAGTCTTCATGCCATGAGTTTTAAGACAGAGGACCAAATTGATAGATTACATAGTAGGAGTTGGCCTCCTTCACAATCAGACTGCTAGTGGAGATTAAGCTTAGCACTTTCACATCTCAACAACCACAACTAAATCTCAGGTCCAGAATATCTCTCTCGATATCTGGCCATTGTAACAATGATCCGTGTAAAGGGAGGTTACTCTGGAGCAATATCCTCCAAAGGGAGACCACTCACCCATCATATACACACACACATTCATATAATACACCCACACTGACAATCATAACATTATCTTCACCACTGATGACAAACTGATCTGTTCGTGGTGTTTGACCCTCATAATTGAAGGGCAGGTAACACCCTGCAGAGTCCCAAAGAGTTATGTTTTCTTGGATTTCTTCACGCCGCCTTTTTTCACAACGGGCTTGTACTTGATTGATCCAGGTCTTTTCTTATTTGTCTGAAAGGGAAGTGGAAAAATATTAGTAAAGATATAAGAAATTTTCTCAAGACGTTACAATATCAGGAATTTATTATTATTTTTATTTATTATTGACATGATTATTTATGACATTGTTATGGTGAATATGGTTTCATATTGGTTCTTGAGACATTCAAGCTATATTTGCAGGTACGGGTGTACCCAGTTGTTGGATGCTCGATAATTCTCAGGGCAGAGCTCTGTCCTTAGGCACACAAGAAGCCTGCAAGCTAGGATCAAATACAACTCTGTCTCAATCTTGTTTCTAAGGTTGTCAGCACTAGGGCTTTTCTCCAACATGAAGCTGACATGCTGTGTTATTACTGTAATACTGTTCAAAGAAGTGATAAGCCCAACTCATTCAGTCACTCAGCCATCTCATGACAGGCACAGAAGAAGGCCCTAAACAAATGGTTTCCAAGTGAGACTCTGAACCAGGTTCCATCAATCTGACTGAACTGAGTGAATGAACGATGAGACAGTATCATGAGACATCTGACATGGATTTAGACACTAGAGAGAGTGAATGAGTGAGGTTTGATTTCAAGCCACTTTTAGCAATATTCCAGCAATGTCACTGTCTGGGACACCAGAAATGGGCTTCACACATTGTACCCATGTGGGGAATCGAACCTGGGATTTTGGTGTGACAGGCGAACACCTTAACCACTACGCTACCCCTCTGCCCCTTTAGACATTAGAGGTGAGGTGAGGTGAAATTGGGTTTAACGTCGTGCTTGAGAATATTTCGCTCATATGACGATGTGCATGTGTGTGTGTATGTATATGTGCGGCTGCTTGTACTAGCCCAGACTTTAGCTGGTTTTATAGTGCTGGCCCACTGAGATACCATGCCGCAGTGAAGCATGAATACCCCACTCAGACACGTTATACTGACTCCGAGACGACCAGTCCTCGTTGTACCCATTAATGCCGAGTGCCAGGCAGGGACCAACAAGTACCATATTTTAACGTCTTTTGGTATGACGCAGTCGGGGATCGAACCCGCGACCTTCCGCTCTCCGGGCGGATGCTCTAACCACTACACCACGGAGGCGGTTATTTAGACATTAAAACTGACCATACTGAAATCACCATGCAGAAAACAAGGTTACACAGTTTCTAAACAACAATGCTGGTTCTAACGGCGACCAAATCAATCCTGGTGGTCTGTATTGGTGACTTGTTGATAGTGTGTCCTAATACACTATCATCATGCATAACTGCTCACTACATCAATCACAGGATTGTCTTTGTCTGAATTTTTACAGGCTCCTGCAAAACAAACATGTGGTGCAACCAAAGGAGGCATCTGTCAAGACTTCAGTAACTCACCTTTTTATTCTTCTTGCGTGCAGTCTTCTTCACGGGTATGTGTGGTTTCTTGACAATTTCCCGGTTGTCCAGGTCCTTGACCTTGTAGATGCGGACCAGCCAGTGTTCCGTGGTGTAGGCCTCTTCCAGGTGGGTCAGATCAAATTCCTTGTTCCCGATCTCAACTCCACGTGTTCGGTCAAATCCAGCAGGGGTTCGGAAGTCAAGCTGTTAACAGACACCTCACAGATAAAACCGTATTGGTTACTAATAATCACATTCACTTATCTGCTTGATATGGATACAGATACTCTATGGCCACACACAGATACATATCAAAGAGATATCAATCGGAGTTACCAGTGGGTTGAACTGTGTAATTCATTGTGAAAAAAGAGTAATGATGCAGGTTTTGACTTTGTCCTGTTTGTTAAGCCAAGATATAAGTGAAACCTGTGAAGATCCAGGTCTTCAGCAGTCTTCATGCTTGTCATAAGAAACAAATAACGGAATCGGGTGGTCAAGCTTGGATGACATTGTATCCCTATCGTGTAGATTGATGTTCATGCTGTTGATCACTGGATTGTCTGGTGCAGACTTGATTATTTACAGACTGCCTCCACATAACTGGAATATTGCTGAATGCGGCATTCAACAACAAGCAAAAGGAACCCTCCAAATCTAGATGTAATTGTAGATGTAGATTGTACCCATGTGGGGAATAGAACCCTGGTTTTCGGCATGATAAGCGAACGCTTAAACCACTAGGCTAGCCCACCACCCCTGTGTAAGTTGAAAACATAGCTGATATAGATCAGCTGTTCCCCTGTTGAATGCTTCATATGTCACTGATGTGACAGCATTTTGGTCTGTGATATTCTATACACTTTAAAATTCCTTTACTTGCAAGACGACACAATTTTGGGGAGAACAGGTGTAAATGTGTAATTTAAGGCTTAGGAAGTTGACAACTGGTAATGCATTCATCATGTTTCAAAATATTCAAATAAGTCATGGAATAATGTGTAGGGTGATACACTCTACTGGCAAACAAGGATAAGTTAGACCACCGCAGAGAACACGTTTACGAGAAGTGGGCGGTGCACAGCAATGAGCAAACCCATTTGGTTTGTGAAAGGTAAAACAGATGTAGGCTAGTGCACATGCATTACATGATGATGAAATTGATTCCGCACGTAGCTGCACACGCCTTGCTCATAAGACTCTCACAACAGTGTAGCAATTCGCACTACACTTGATCGCGGACAACCTGGGGCTCCTTCGCTAACGATGGCAATGGGGGGCAATCATACATGCTAATACGGGTCAATTGTCAGGTCGGTGCTCAACTTATCCTGGTTTGCCACCACTGGCCATATCCTGAAGTGGTGGTGGTGAAATTGGGTTTAACGTCGTGCTTGAGAATATTTCGCTCATATGACGACGTGCATGCGTATGTGTGTGTATGTGCGGCTGCTTGTACTAGCCCAGACGTAAGCTGGTTCTATAGTGCTAGCCCACTGTGATACCATGCCGCAGTGAAGCATGAATACCCCACTCAGACACATTATACTGACTCCGAGCCGACCAGTCCTTGATGTACCCATTAATGCCGAGCGCCAGGCAGGGACCAACAAGTACCATATTTTAACGTCTTTTGGTATGACGCAGTCGGGGATCGAACCCTCAACCTTCCGCACTCCGGGCGGACGCTCTAACCACTACACCACGGAGGCGGTCATATCCTGAAGTAACCACATGTGTAGCAATGCATGGCACACTCAGTAAAGTCTCCCCATCCCCTCCCAAGACCCTGAGCTCACCTGCAGCTGTCCGAATCTGTAGTAAGACAGCTTGTACATAAGACAGTTGAGCAGAGTAGACGAGCCGGCCGAGTCCACACGGAACTCCCCCTGTGGCGTGAAGTAGTCAGACTCCTGGAACACAATCACCAGCACGTCACATATCTGTCGCTGCAGCTCTGTGGTGATGCTACTTACATCATGGTATCAAACAAGTTGTTCAGGAGCTAGGAGTGAGTGATTGAGTTTAGACTTATGCCGCTTTTTGGCAATATTTCCAGCAATATCACGGCAGGGGACATCAGAAATGGGCTTCACACATTGTACCCATGTGGGGAATCGAACCCAGGTCTTCAGCATGACAAGCCAATGCTTTAACCACTTGGCTACCCAACCGCCCCTCAGGAGCTAGGAGCAACATAATGTTATGATTATGTAACAAACCATTAGATATGGATTAATCATCTAATCAACCAAGCAAGCTTTTTGGAATATCTTTTTCAAAAATTGTTTCCAAGCCCCAACTGAAGGCTGATCTTAATTACCATGCTTCTTTTATGCATGTCAAAAAGTTGGCCTCTGTGGGTCCCTTACCCTGATATCTTTGGGATGCTCTCCCTCTGCAATCCTGACCATCCACAAAAACTTGTTGATATCGTCCCCAGAGTAGCCGATGACTCCACCAAAAATGACCAGCACATAATCGACATCCAGACTACATGATGTCATACGCAGCAGTTTCATTGGACGACATAGCCTTGCCAACCTGGAACCAACATAATTACTTTACACGGAGATTGGGGATAATATGTCATCAGCATGACATGTTTGACCACCAATAAAGTCATGTTTGATACTGATCGTGCAAATATAATGATCCAGAAAATCTAATTTTAGTGAAAGCCTATAGCAGGAAATCACAAATTTATTTATCTTACAACTTACCACGGTTACATGACTGTTATTCCAAATGTTATCCACCACAGCAATTTGAAACACTTACCAAGGCTATGTGACTGTTATTCCACGTGTTGTTATCCACTAACGTCGTTCTGTTCCCCATGCCTGCTATCTGGTAGCCGTAGTCCCACCAGGACATCACCCGTGCCTTATCGTGTGTGTTCTGACGCAGCCAGTAGTATGCTTCACGGAAATCATCCAGAATCGTGCGGCTCCTGACAAACAAGTGACAATAACAAATCTTGAGATATGTTGTTGAGTCAATGAATCATTCAGTATGGGTCAGCATATGAAATACTCTCACTATCAACCATTTGGCAAAGGAGTGAGTATGGTTTCATGTTGCTTTTAGCAATATTCCAGCAATATCACAGCGGGGACACCAGAAATGGCCCTAACACATTGTGGGGAATCGAACCCAGGTCTTCAGCGTGACGAGCGGACGCTTCAACTTAGGCTACCCCACTGCCCATTTTGCAAGAGAGTGAGCGTGTTCAGTTTTACGCCGCTTTTAGCAATATTCCAGCTATATCACGGCGGGGGACACCAGAAATGGGCTTCACACATTGTACCCATGTGGGGAATCGAACTCGGGTCTTCGGCATGATGACCACTACGCTACCCCCCCACCGCCCATTTTGAAAGAGAACAAATAGTGACAAATGATCATAATCCTGGCATGGAAGTCAGAAGTCACAGAGGTCTCAGATGGTTACTACTTTGGTGAAAGCCACAAGGACATGAATGGTGCCAACAATCCTTGAAACAAACAGGTAAACCACGATTCAAATCCTACGATCACTTATTTCTGGTGTACCCAAGGGAGGCAACTCTGCAAGTGTTTTCTTTCTGTTGTTTAGTGCTCCACTCCGCAATATTACAGCTATATGGTGGCCTGGACTTGTGGCGCCTTAAACAAATGGGCCACCCTGCTGGTTGTAATGAAAGGACGTACCCTCCCTGTCCGTATGACGCTAACACAATGCTGGGGCTGGAGTAGGCACTGCTGGTTACCCAGGTACAGTGGACAGCAAATAGCATCAGCATCATCAACATTGCGATGACAATGACACTTTTGATGTTCATGCCGACAGACTCTTCATCCTTGGGTTTGTCCTCCTTCACCTTCTTTGTCTTCCCCACCTGAATGTGACGATAAATGACAAATTTATTATGGTATAGATGAAACAAAACATAAGGATACTACATATATCTTAGTAGCTGACTTCAAACAGAACGCACATAGGTTTTCATTGATCTTCGCAACTGGGATATGACGTGTCAACCAAGAAAGCAAGCCAGACACCCTGATCCTGTCAGTCGCCTCTTACGACAAGCATAGGATGCTGAAGACCAATTCTAACCAGAATCTTCGTGGGTTAAATACCCACCAGCTATGTCAGACCTATTCAACCCTGAAATCTTTGAGGGAGACAAGCATAGCGTATAAGGTAAATATTATCCCGAAGAAACCCAAGGTGCTCTCTAACCTCTTTTGAGAAATGTACATGAAGCATGATTTCTTCTGTTTGTTCAACACCACACTCAGAAACATTCCAGTCAGGTGATGGCAGTTTCGAACAAATTGCGATTGAACAAGACAGTTCAATACAAGAGACCCTGAGCATCCATCAATACAATAGGGACAGGACGATATGCATCAATCACATGAGTGAGATGGACTGACTGATTCTATATGTCGCCTCTATGACAAGCACTGGATGCCAAAGAACAGTCTAACCAGAACTGGTTACAAGCATATGATCAAACATATCTGAGTGTAAATTCAGGCAGAAACTTCAGAGATGACCTTAACCTTGTCGTACAGCCGGTCGTTTTTGTTTTCCTGGTTTTCCTCTGAAGTGGATCTGTGCGACTTCGGAGTGTCATCTTTCAAGTAGATCTCGAACGTTTTAGAGAATGCAATAGCTGCAAGGACGCACACGATAGGGGTTAGCGTGAGCATCAGCCGCACCATCACGCCAGCGAAGTAGCTGGCAAATATTGCGTATAACACCACTGGAAGAGAAAGCAGGACAAAATGAAACATATGTGAATTAAGAAAGACTATCAAAAAGTTTGGCATGCTTGGGTACTTAAGTCTGTCCCCCTTCCCCCTCCGAATCACCGTGGAGATAATGGAGTACTGTAGGCAGGTCACAACCCCTGGAACTAAGACAAAAGCAAGGGGTACCTTATCTTTTATCAGCTGGAGTTGTGTTCTATGCCGCTTTTAGCATATTCCAACAATATCACTGCGGGGGACACCAGAAATGCACTTCACACACTGTACCAATGTGGGGAATCGAACCCGGACCTTCAGTGTGACGAGCAACGTTTTAACCACTAGGATACCCCACTGCCCCACAAGTTTAAGATCTAACGTGAGTACTGTCGGTCCATTTTAACTTTGAATCTCCTAGATAGACAAGCATAGCATACTGGGGACCTATTCCACGTGAACATTCCAAGACAAGCATCAGATACTGGGAAGGTATTCCACAAAGGATCCCAAGACAAGGTTTGGATACTGAGGAACAGGTTTACCGCAGAAATCCCCAGAAGTAGAGACTGGACTCACCAAACACTCTCTCGTCATTGATGTTCTTGATGCAGTACCACACCCCTGCCGGGAAGGCGCACACCAGGATGTGGAGATCAAAGAAGAAAGACACCCACGTCGTAGGCTGATGCTCCGACACAGAAGCAATTATAGGAATGTGGATTTTAGCATAACCGGTGTCCCATAGTGAGTAGAACCGCCCACTCCAAGGAGCTATATAACCTGAAACACACATTATCCAATATACTGTACATGTGCCCTCTACATCCTGGCAGTCAATCACCTTATGGAGGGTTAACTATGTACTCCAAAACATATTCTTCATCATTATAAGGAATTATTGACATCCTTAAATTTTCTTCTACACACTACACATGCTTCAAGTTAACAAAGAAACAGTTAAAAGCTTTACTGCAGAAATTTTTACTCTTCCTAATTGTAAACATTTATTTGTTGCCATATGCTTTAATACATGACAACTGTCTGTACATAACCGAGTCTGGGCTAGGCAATCCTGTGATTGGTAACTCAGGAGGTGGAACTGTTGAGTGCAGGGTTAAACAACAAACACACATATAATATTCCCCTTTAGTTAATCAGGGATGGATCAGCGGTGGATACATCAACAGTGGATACACACTTACCTGCCCAGGTAAGTCCAACGACTCCCACAAACACCAGGGCTGCGGCAGTTGTCGCAGCAAAGAAAAAGAAGTATTTGAATTCAGACTTGGTCATCATAGTCTGCAGGTACCGGATGATAGAGTAGGCATTGAGCAGCACAAACACACCTGTAATTAGGAACATAAACATACCTGCAATTAGGAACACAAATACACCTGCACTTTGAAACACAGGCAAGGTAACAACAAGTACCATATTTAAATGTCTTCTAGTACATCATGTCTGGGGTTTCGCACCACCAATCTGAAACTCCCTGACAGATACGCTGTCAATGTTGTTTGATGCCACTTTCAACAATACTTCCATTCTATGGCAACCTAAATGGCACTGGTCTTTGTTTACCAGTGTGGTGAAGCACACAAGCATGGCCATTGTGCAGGAATTCCTAGAAACATAATCAAGACCAATCTGTCAACCTAACCCAGGATTATGGAGCACACTAAGGGGAAGTAACTCTTTACAGTGAATTGATGTATCACAGATACTCTCCAGGCTTTCACAAAAGTAGCATGACTAACAATACTCCACTAGCAAGTACTGCACAAAGTGATCATTGCGCAGAGATGATTTAACCTCCAGATAATGCATTGTGCAATGTAATGTCAGTTTGAGCAAAAGCCACATTAATGATTAAGCAAAGTCACATATTTAGATTTGCCCAACACAGCCAATATGAGCAGTTGAGCCCTACCTGCTGCTGCCATGTGCTCGCTGGTTCTGATTGGCTGGAAGCCGACAAATGGGACTTGCATGGAGAGGATGAGACCCACAATAAAAAAACTGGAATATGCTGAAACAGTAAACACAGACAATTAAAAACATGCACATTAAAAAACTGAAATTAGACAAATACAGTAAGCAGAATACAAGTGCATGTATATTGGCCATCTTATTTTCTTAATACAATGCTGAATTTCATTTCATATTCAATCAAAATTGCTTCTGTAAATGGCCATGGTAAATTTCAAAAATTTGCAGTGACAAGCATCTATTACATTTCCAGTTTTAGTTATCAGTCCAAACATGTCAAAAATAACTTTGAAACGTCATTCATAAAGAAGCAAGTTTTTGACAACGACTTAGCCTGCACTGGTTTCACCATGGGGAGATAAGCATGGAATACACTGACTGCAAATACACTGACCACTGGTGTGGTTAGTTGCTTGGTTGGTTTTCATGTTTAATGCCGCACTGAGCAATATTCAAGCTATATGGCGACAGTCCGTAAATAATCGGGTCTGGACCAGACAATCCAGAGATCAACATCATGAGCATCAATCTACGCAATTGGGATACGATGAAGTCAGCAAGCCTGACCACCCGATCCCCTTAGTCGCCTCTTACAACGAGCATGGATTACTGGAGGCCAGTTCTAACCCTGATCTTTACGTGTTCTAGGTGTCCTGGCACCAACCTGTGTATATTCTTGTAGAGTACCGCCCCATCAACAGCAGCACGAAGACATGGAGTGGGATTAGGTTGATGATAAAAACATAGCCACCCCATGCTGACACCTGCAACATCCAAGTACACGTCACACGATACATTCACACAGGAAAAAATATCTTTAACGAATATACACCTGAATCATTGAGGAAACAGGTGAAACAATGTTTGTTGTTGAAAACCTAATTCTTTCATCTTACTAAGTTACTTATTATGGTAATGTCATGGGATGTCATGATTTGACAATCTCCCGAATCCAAAACGACACAAATAGGAATACTTTGTTCATGATACAATATTCAAGCTTTATGGCAGCAGTCTGTAGAGAATTGAATCTGGACCAGACAATCAAGTGATCAGATAAATATCAGTTCTTGAGTTCTTGACTTGCGGACGCTGTTTACTTACCATATAAAAATAAGACACTGCTGTGCAAATGGCCCAGAATAACGTCCCTGTTTTAACAGCTTTAATCTGCAAACAAATGAAGCATAAGTCTGTGAGTGAGTGAATGAGTTTAGTTTCACGTCGCTTTTAGCAATAATCCAGCAATATCACGGCAGGGGACAACAAAAATGGACCTGTAATTTGAAAAGATGCAAGCCATCTTCAAAGACCAACCTGATGCAGCTTGATGACTTTCACCATGTGTGTTTAGCTGCTCATACTAGTCTGGACTTGCATTGGTTTTATAGTGCTTGTTTCACTGACATTCATGCTACAGTCTAACATCAACAACCCCCACACGGACAGTTTGCCGACTCCTACTAACCAGTCCAGTTTTATCGATTACTGCGGAGCAGCTCAACAACAAGCACCTCCAGAGTATCGTACTACCAACCTTCTGCTACCTCAGTCCAATTTGATAAGGCGATCGTAGCGCTAAGGTGATCGTAATTCCCATACCTTAACATAAACTTACGACAATCATACCGCTATGATCGCTTTGTGAAAGGGGCCCTGGGCTCTATACACAAAACCAAGTACAAAACGACAATCACAATGGCTCCATGCCAATCACAGCAACATTCATACTGAATATTATTTTATTTGAACATGGTAAACTGCTCCTTTAACCACAGCTCCATGAGGCTGCCATACAGACTTAGTAACAATCTTCCAGCTTCAAACCTCACAAACCCATATAAAATATCAAAAAGGAGTGATTAAATATTAAACTTCACAAAGGGATATAACTCTGACATATTTCAGTCTTAAGCAGTAGTAATAAGTTGGTGATTAGTTACACACATGCAACACTCATATCCCCTGAAATTGGTGTCTGCTATTCCAGGAAACAACCATGGCCCCAGATAACAAAAGCTGTCTGTTCAAAAAGACTGACTCAAACACTGCTAGCTGACCTGTAATTTCAGCAATCTAAGGATGTGATGTTGCTATGTAAAGATCACCAGAAACAATGGGACGCCACTTCTTCAATGATAACAGGATTAGGTTTTAAACCTTCAAGAAACTAATGGGCAGATTGGTTGGTATGATTCCCAGAGAGGTGAGACATGCAGTGTTCACGAATGGTGCTTCAAAGTAACCGGACATTTGCATTGAAATTATTAACAAACATAAGACTTATAAACAGCAAACAAGTGACACATGTCACATATAACAACTTCAGTCAAAGTCATTGTGAAATATACAGTCGGACACTGGGGCCAGCAGGTTGTAGACTTCTATCAGACCTTTGGCGAATCTGCCGGATTTGTCAGAGGGTCAGACGCTATTCGTGAACACTGGACATGCACACTAATCCATAACCATGATAAAAAATAATAATGGCTGCCTTTAGCATGATGCTCAACATAATAGAAATAAACGTTTAGTATTCTATAAAAAGACGTGGACTCACCCATAAGAAATACGTAAACATGAGGGCAAAAATGGCAATGCCCTCATTATCGTAACTCCCCGCCACTGACCGGCTAATGTAACCAGGAACTGAAACACAACAATACGTGAGTGAGTGAGTGAGTTTAGTTTTACGCCACACTCAGCAATATTCCAGCTATATGGCGGAGGTCTGTAAATAATCGAGTCAGGACCAGACAATCCAGTGATCAATCAATACACAAGTAAGTCAACAGGTCAATGAGAGTCAAACTCACTACAAGCCAGAAATTATAACATTGCTGCCATTTTTCCAGGTTTTCATCGCATTTAGATATAGTTAGTTAGCATGGTTTTAACGCCACTTGTACCCATGTGGGAATTGAACCCTGACCCAGGTGTGACAACCAAACGCGTTAACAACTTGGCTACCCCACTGCCCCTCATTGAGACATAGAACATTTCCTTGTACTTACCAATAGCAATGAAGCAAGCTGCAAACAGCCCTGCCCCAGCATTCCATACTTCTTTGGTGAAGAAATACACAGCAAGTGCAGTAAGGCCACTGAAACAAGCATGCATCTTTCCAATATCTATCAAGTCATAGCAACTTGGATATTTAACACAAAAAAAGATAAAAACAAAAACACATAAATTAAAACAAAACAAGCTGTTATCTAGCAATGTAATGTTACTAAATGCATAAAATTAGAGAAAGAAATACCTGCTTATTTCTTCTGTAAATTATGCCAAGGCTGCAGATAAGGGCCGTATTGGCGTATGTACGGATAAAAAATATGCACGATACGGTAGGAAATAATTTTGAAAACGTAGCAGATACGCACCACAGCAATGGTGTATGGTCTTAGAATCATTTACAGATGTATTTATCTGCAAAAAAGTATTGTTTTATTGTTCATTGACCTGTTTACATAATAGTAGCAATGTTGTGGTGCATATATATTCCATTAATTTCCATTCAGTACTCGAAATGTACTTTTAAGGTTTTCCAGTACTCCTATAGTGAAATAATAAGGAGTATGTACTCCTGATGTTGAAAAATTATCTGGAGCCCTGTATGCGTCAGAACAGTGAGCTTTGCCTGTGCTGTGCTGTACTGTGCTGTACTGTGCTCTGCTGTGCTGACTTACCTAAATATGGGAGCTAGGAACACGCATATATCCCGGATGTGGACAGGGATGTTGAGAGCATTGAGGACCCAGTATATGGAGCCTGACGTCACCATCAGCCCGGGATACACCTGCAACACAACAACGTACGTACATCGTAACATACAGCTAAACAATACAGCTGCACATACACCATCACACAACACATTGGTCGTACATACATCTTAACACCATCAATTGCACATACACCATCACACAACACATTGGTCGTACATACATAGTAACACCATCAATTGCACATACACCATCACACAACACATTGGTCGTACATACATCGTAACACCATCAATTGTACATACACCATCACACAACACATTGGTCGTACATACATCGTAACACCATCAATTGTACATACACCATCACAAAACACATTGGTCATACATACATCATAACACATTAACTGCACATACACCATCACACAACACATTGGTCATACATACATCGTAACACGTCAATCGCACATACACCATCACACAACACATTGGTCGTACATACATCGTAACACATTAACCGCACATACACCATCACACAACACATTGGTCGTACATATCGCAACACATTAACCACACATACACCATCACACAATACATTGGTTGTTCATACATCGTACGATAAATGAATTTATCATAACACAACACAGATATATAGATATAGCAACACAAGACAGTCAACACATACATAATACATCAGTTGATATACATAGTAACAAAATACATCTGCGGTTAGGGCTGGCTATCAACGTAGGTGAGGTAAAATAGGGTTTTACTTCGTACTTGAGAATATTTCGCTCATATGACGACGTGGATGCGTGTGTATGTGTATGTGTATGTGCGGCTGCTTGTACTAGCCCAGACAGAAGCTGGTTTTTTAGTGCTAGCCCAATGAGAAACCATGTCGCAGTGAAGCATGAATTCTCCACTCAGACACATTATACTGACTCTGAGCCGACCAGTCCTTGTTGTAGCCATTAATGCAGAACGCCAGGCAGGGACCAACAAGTACCATATTTTAACGTCTTTTGGTATGACACAACCGGGGATTGAACCCGCAACCTTCCGCTCTCCGGATATCAACATAGATGATAGAGATCGATAATTGTTAACTAAATATTGATCGCCTATCGATAAACATCGGAGACATAACTGAGCAAAAATGTCAAAAAATGACCAAAAGAAACGAATATATTTCACATCACTGGTCAGTGGCGACATGGCTTTACATGGATTATTAACAAAACAATGTCAATAATATTAGCAATAATCATTACTATTTTTGCCACAACATTTCCGATTAGTGATTATTTTAGACACCCCAATCTGTGGTACACAGCAACAAAACAGATCAGTGATTCACATTGGTTACATCCATCGCAACACTCCTTGGTTGTAATATACACAGGCAACCATCAGACAGTATACAATCCAACCAGCACACAAATGTTATCGTTGTGGAAGATTATGTGTCAGTTTACTGAAGGTGAGTCTGAAAATAACATTCAAAAGTTCAAGTCTTCCTCAAACACTAAGGCCATGTGGATACCATGCTATAGTGTGTAGTCACAAGGCGTGCGTCAAATACACCTTGAGGTGAATTGCATGTTTTATAAATACAGTCATCCCTCGCAATAACGCTCTTCGCGATACCGCGGATTCGGTTAAACCGCGGGGTAATCCGTGGCTCCCATAAAAAAAAGTTGCCCAGTGATCACACATATTCACGTCATCAAAAATAGCACATCAACAAATCCGCTGTTGAGCTCTGGTTAATCACGTAGTAAACTAGTGAAATTCAGTGCGGATTGCAATTAACAGTGTTTATCGTATATATCCATGTTTTTTCAGATGCTTAAAACATGCAGCGTCTTTTTCAATAATAATTGATGAACAGCGAAACATCATAATAACTGTATCATAAAGACATGATTATCAGCCGAGTACTTACAACGTTTGCTATGATGCAACACACCGCGTAATTGCGCGGGTATACACCGCCATCCGAGAATGTATGATGTCAGAAAACACATTTTATTTGATTAAATTCAATCCCATTTTCATTCATTAAAACTGTTTACAATAACAACGGAGAAAAATGGCATTACCTCATTCCATACAACACCCGCTTACCACATTCGTGAGGGTCCGTTTTTCGCGCCTACTGCGAGAGCACCAATTTCACATTTTTCTCAGCAATCACGAACAGATTACAGCCTTGTCATCCATTGACCCGCGTTATTGACTCGTTGAAGTCATATTTGACAATTAATTGCCAACATTTTGTTTTACAATCAAAGTGGCGCGTGCAGCGGGGAAGTCAGCGGTGACTTGTCAAACTGTCTCCCTCGTAAAATGTATCCAGCCAGGTAACCCAAAGTGCTTAGCAATGCTTATCATTATGTTAAATATGTTAAGTAGAAAACATGCATTATACTTATCACGATAGCAATATATAAGATCTCTGTTAGAATAACTGCTTGATATATCAATTATTCTGATAATGGAATAGAAATTCTTGGATGTTATATTTTTCGGATCGTTTTAAATGAATCACCGGTACATTGGACCAAAACATCGATGTGTGCCCAGCTGATTGCTATTTCGGCTTAGTTGAATAACAGGTAGCGTGACAGGAACAACTATTGAATTATCATGTCTTGTGATGTTTGATTGCAAGTTTCATGTACATACATCTTTTTTTTTTTTACAAAGTTTTGGTTTTTTTCACCTCCAACAGTACGATATAGTTTTGACTGGGCACAATACACGAAATAGCAGTTTTGTTATGTCCATGGAAAATACGATTTTACTTGGCCTTTGTTCCGCGTTATGTAATCGTTACTTATAACGCGGGTGTCTAATAACGCGGGGGGTCATCCATGGACCCCAAGACCCGCGTTATGGCGAGGGATGCCTGTACAGGGCAACAAATACAAATATTTGTTCAAGAAATATATTTATTATAAAAACAAAAATAAAAATAATAAACATTTCATTTAATTACTTAGGTGGCAACATTTCAATGATAATTTTTGTAATGATAAAAACCCAATACACTGCAACCATGCCACTCATACCTAACGACAGTAAAATAATCATCTATTGCAAAATGACACTACTGCATGGCTTGCATATATTCCATTTTGCATATCTCACTGTGATAAATAACAGATGAGTACCAAGTACAAAAAACACTCTTTTTATAATAATAGTAAATACTGACCACAAATAACCACTGACGACCACAAACAACAAATTAAATTCATGGCCGGATATGGTTCGATTCACTGAATACGCAAGTGCATCGTAACAGTACCAGTACTAACCATTCTTACAACAGACAAGACTGACTGAGTTTGGTTTTACGCGGCTTTTAGCAATATTCCAGCAACATCACGGCGGGGGACACCAGAAATGAGCTTCACATTGTACCCATGTGGGGATTCGAACCCGGGTCTTCGGCGTGACAAGCCAACGCTTTAACCACTAGGCTACCCCACCGCCCTACAACAGACAAGAGGATACTGAATAATATTGTCATATTGTAGCATGTGCTTACCGTGCCTCCAACAATACGGCCCAGTGGGTACCATGCTCTGTCATCGAACCAGTTGAGGAAGTTATAGAATCCATTGGTTACCATGTAGTGGGTTGAACGATAGTTGAACCTGAAACACAGTAAGCAAACACATGATCCATCGTTGTCTTGAAATTAAGTTTGAAATGTTCATTGGCATTCTTCACATACACAGTTCTGCAGCCAGGATTTCCTTGGAAGGTGCCAATTGGCCCCAACCTTTAAAAAATGTCGGCCAATAACCAAAAGTGAAAAAAAACTCTGTACATCAACTCGAGCTCCGTACAGCGAAACGAGGTCTTTACAATGATTCATATTACAGTTTTGTCTGCAAATAGACGTACTAGCAATGTGAAGTGCTTAGGAAGCCTTGTTTCAGAAGTTCCAATAATTTGATTTTGGTGGTGTTGTACTGCTGTCAGAGACGTTCAATTGTTCTTACAGAACTATTGAAGTCATTGGCGATGACAGTAGCACATTGACTACGTACAGACGTCCGATGGACAGTTGACGTTGATCCCTTGTTAACCTCGGCATAGCTGCTGCAGTCAGGAAACCACTGAAGGATTGGCAGTCAAGCTGGGAATTTATACCCTGTATGCACACGAGATGCACGTGCAGTGTGCTTTCAATGTTACGTTTGGTTGAGCTGTTCCTTGTCCAAAAACAGTGAAGCGTTTTGAAACCATCCAAAAAGTTGATGTGTTGTACAAACTTATCATTTAGTCTTCGAATCATGTTTTCTAAATGTTTTCAGCCATCAAGTGACTAGTTAATCAAAATACATCATTGATACCAAATCCATAATCTCAAAAATACGTTTCTTTTGCCTTTCAGTATATATAAACATGTAGATTATAAATTTGTGCCATTGTTGCCGCATACATCATATGTGTGTGTGTGGGGGGTGTGTTGTTGTTGTTGTTGTTCTTGTTCAGGGGGTTCGAAACAACAATGAAGATTTGTTTTTGCGTTGGCAGAGCCAATGGTGGGATTGAGCCTCCAGACCCCACACCCACCCCTTTCAAAATTTCTCGATCCGCCCATGTGACCAACAGCAAATATTGGCATTAATTCCTGCCCTGATTTGTCATATTTGTAGTTTTCAAAACTGTAATTTACGTTGAGCTTTTCAAAGCTGGTTATCATTTCAATGGTAACAGGAACATTACAGACAAAAAGGATTTAATGCACGGTTTAAATTATCATGATTATTCATCATAAATTGCCGTTTGAAGTGATGAACTTTAGAAAAATCTACTGCTCAGATCAACATGCTCAATATCATGAATACTGTATAACAAATAACAATAGAAAGTGCTGAACTGTAGAAAATGAGGATATAAAACTATATATATTAATTACCTTGAATATTTTAACTTAACATTCAGACTTTGTAAAATTACCATTTTTGCACAAAATAACAAAATAAAATAGATAAGCGTGGTGACACACAAGTCCCTGTGCTCTCGTAGCATTCATTTACACTTTATGCATACATTTCTAACGTTTATAAGTCTATGAATGCAATTCTTATAAATAAAGACGTCCAGTTTCAACAGGCTATTTAATTAACTGTGAAGATTCAGGTAAGAACTGGCCCCATGCTTCTCGTAGTATGTGATGAGCGGAATCAGGTACTCAAGCTTGATGACACATGTAATTGTTTCCCATTTGCATAGATCAATGCTCATGCTGTTGATCACTTGATTTTCTGGTCCAGACTCCATTATTTACAGAGCCCTGCGAAAATTCTGGAACATTGCTGGGTACTGCGTTAAACAACAAGCAAAAAGGAAAAAAAGAAAAACTTGCTTAATTGCTAACAGTAACACACACATTCAAAAACTGTACACAATACAAAATCAGTAATGTCATATGATATAGTGCCATTATACAACACAAGCCCCACCTTCTCTACTAACGGTCAATCAGGAATCTGCCAACTGGGATTATTGAACAAGGCCTTAACAAAATTTGGCTTATGAAAACAAACAAAAACTTGTGTGGTTAGGCAATCAAATGCCACAAAATCATTTCTAATTCATTTGTCCAGGAACAAATTCCCAATTTCGATATTCCATATCCTTGTATCAAGCTTACTCACGTTGGTTTTGCTGATCATTGTCCTATCTGAACTCTCACAATGATCTGGTAATCTGGGGTAACAAGAAATATTATTTCACGTGACGTGTAGGAATTAATGCGTGCATTTGATGTGTGACATTCTGATACCACAAGCCATTCAGACACGAGACGATTTGTTATATATTCTGACGATTCCTGCCACGGACAAGATAAATGTCACATGGCATCGCAAACCAATGTTGAATATTGCACGGCATCATCTATATGGATCACACAGCTTTATGTTACATCTGTGAAAGTTGCCACATGAAACATTTTGTGTGTCCTTAACGTTAATTGTCAACCATGAATGTGTCCCCGCATATCAGGTTTTAATCTTCATATCATCTCTCAGACTCAGCTGAGCTGAAGGCGTCCTTGACCTCATTTGTCCAGCTTCTTGGCAGAGCACAGATGAAAGAATATTGATAAAAAAAATAGCATGCATGGTAGATAGGTAACAAAACTTTAATTTTCTTGCAGTTTCTTCAGAAAAGCAGAGCTCTAACAACAAGCGAGTAGTGTGCCCATGTGGGGAATCTAACCCGGGTCTTCGGTGTGATGAGCTGAACACTTTAACCACAAGGCCACCTCACCGTCCCACTTCAGAAAAGAAGTAAAGAAGAAGACAGACAAACATTAATTTTCATGGCCTTTTAGGTTAATTTCCACAAGAATCATTTAGGAAGGAATATAAACAAAAATTGCAAATAATTGTTTAAAATGAGTATCCTTAATGGGGATGTGTATGCGGGACAATTTGTACTGCAATATATATTTGTATTATTTTACACAAAGAAATATACTTCATTCTGAGTTAAAGTGTTTGATTGTGACTGAAACTGTTTCTGCAGATACTATATTCCAAAAAAGCATATAACGATGTCAAAGTCAACTTGCTCTGATCCAAATCAGTTATTTGGCTAGAAATAATTTTGCTAAAAAATACAAATGCACATCTACCACAAGTAGAAAGTAATGACAACTTCAGCCAGACATCTGAAATTATTTTGTCATCATTCACCAATAGAGAGACGAAAGAGATACAAGATTGTTGAACTCAAACAACATGATTTAGCTGTAGCACCATGCTATTATCGAACTTGAATCTAACTTTACTTGATTACGTATGGAAAATAAATTGCCTCTAGTGATAAGCATTGAAGTTGAATTTGGCTCAACATGAAGTTCTGGTTCAACATGTTCAGAGAAAATCGTTTTTCCAAATTTCCTTAACATCTACCAGCGTCAAATGTCTTCCAGGATTCTAACAATGTCTAGAATCTCCTTGGAACCAACAGTTCAGCTCATGGATCTTTAAAACATAACACATGAACTACAGTGAAGGTGAATATGTGAGTGAGTGTGTACGGTTTTACACCGCTTTAAGCAATATTCCAGAAATATCACGGATGGGACACCAGGAATGGGCTTCACATATTGTGCCAATGTGGGGAATCGAAACCGGGCCTTTGGCGGGACGAGTGAATGCGTTATCCACTAGGCTACACCACCATCCCTGAAGTTGAATGAAGTCAGGTGAGCTATGAACATACGCAATATATATGATTGTGAATTCTTTGAATAATGTGGACCAAAGTTATAATTATTGGTAACTGCCAGTTGTCTGTGGTCTGTGTTTGCCGCGATTAGGACCCCATCGCAGAGGGATTGACTTATGCACAAAACATACCATTTTGAAACTGATTTTAAGGGTCAAGTTTGGGGGGCGTCTTATCCATGGGGTCGTCTTATAGACGGTAATATACGGTAATGAAAGAAGAAGCATCATGGCCATATTAATAATGTGACATTCAACATTCCAACTGAAATACCAATAATACAAGCCAAAGCTGTGAGATGAGCTAAGAACATACAGAAAGATGACATGTCATGCCCATGTTAATACGGGACACTTGAAACTCCTACTGCAATACCAATCACACAAGCCGTAGCTGTGGGGTGAGCTAAGAACATACAGAAAGATGACACGTCATGGCCATATCAATCACGGGACACTTAACAATCATCCTGAATCACCCGTCATACCAGCCGTAGCTCACAGCATGCCATTGATTCACCTTCTCCCACAGGACAGTAACACATGACTGAACTTAACAACACTGATGCTGCCATTACCGTCATTACATGTCTCCCATGGGGATCCCCTGAAGAAACAATGTGGCACGCAGGACCAATTCATCACTCTACCATCTACATGCTGTCATAGACTGGTTCAGGCTCCAGCCAATCACACAATGGAGCAATGTATTATAAATCAGAGAAACACATTCCAGCCATTGCAACTTTGGATACAGAAAAGTGCTTTTTTCTGTCAATGTGCTAAAATCAAGGATATGAAATATTCATGAGTATTTTTCCAATACCTGCAATAAAATGGTAATCGATTCTTCCATTCTTTCAGCTTGACACATGAAGTTAGTGTTGGGCAGTATGAAGAATGTCAGGGTCAAAGAGTCTAACACTATTGTGTAAGGCCAGCTTTTTTATCATATAAAATGAATATTTTAACTACAATTTATTAAATAAAACATTGAACTTTTTAATTCCTTGGAATCTAGGAGTGAGTGTGTTTAATTTTACGACACTTTTAGCAATATTCCGGCAGCATCACGACAGGGGATACCAGAAATGGTCTTTACACACTGTACCCATGTGGGGAATCGAACACAGGTCTTCGGCATCATGGGTGAACGCTTTAACCACTAGGCTACCCCGCCGACAATGGTATCTAACAAGAAATCCTAGTTTTGAGTCTGGTGTTTGACTTCCGCATGTCAAATGGATATATTTCCAAACCAAGACCAACAATTCCCCCCCATCAAACATTATACATTACAAAACAAGAGTATACAGTGGAGATAGGCCGTGAATATTAACACACTGTTAGGAATCATCCATAAGCTTCCGAGGCCAATAAACAATGTTTAAGACTCAACTGAG